AAATTTTTAATGGCACTACATGGATAAAACCAGAGGATTCCGAATATCTGGCAAAAAAAAACCAAAAAATAAGAGGAGCGAACATCCGTAAACTAAAGTTATTGTCCGGAAACCAAATGTGTCTTCGGACGACGACGTCGACGACACCGACAACGATGACGACATGATAGCATTATACGAACTCAAATTTTTTGCGGTCGTATAAAAATGAATGTTCATGCATTAGAGTTAATCTCAGGGATGCTGGCATCCCAGTTGTAAGTAAAAACTATCTCGTCACATTAAAAATTAAAAGCTGACAGTCATTTCCTTCTGATGCTGGCATCCATCTTCTTTGGATGCTATCATCTGTCTTCTTTGGATGCTGGCATTCGTTTTCTTTGGATGCAAGCAGCCATTTATTTGCTGGAAATGTATTTATAAATTTGATTATTTAGCTAAAACAGGTACCAAGTGACGATGCTCAAGGACTGAGAGCTTAAGAGCTCTAACAACCTCCTCGTATCTAATGCAGAGAAACAAACATAAAGGTAACCAAAGTTCAACATAAAAAGAAGATGTGGTATGATTGCCAATGAGACAACTCTCCACAAGAGACCTAATGACACAGGAATTAACAACTATAGGTCATCGTACTGCCTCCAGCAATGAGCAAAGCCCATAACGCATAGTCGGCTATAAAAGGCCCCAAAATAACAAATGTAAAACAATACAAACCAGAAAACTAACGGCCTAATTTATAAAATAATGAACGAAAAACAAATATGTTACACAGCAACAAACGACAACCACTGAATTACAGGCCCCTAACCTAGGACAGTGGTGTAACAGTACAACATAAGAACAAACTATAATCAAATTACTGAAGTACTGAACATCGGATGACCGCAAGTTCTGGTGGATGGTCACAAGCACTTGTCTCAGAAAACAAATCACATCTCTATACCTTAAAGTTAGGTTAAGGTACATAGATATATTTTTTCTGAGACATGTTCCTGTGTGGATGATGAATAAATGACAGGGAATTCAACCTCACCGTAATAATTATTATATTGTAGTGATATAATCATTTGTTATCAGTATACTCTGGTTTGTTGTTATATATTATATGAATATTTGAATACCAGTTATATATATACAAATGTAGCAGATCATCTTAATAACTCGACAGGCAAATTTTCATCCATTTATATATCATTCTATTCTACTATTCTAATGATAGTGCAGTGCAAGTGCATGGTGGACACTCTTCTGTAATACTTCGTTTTTCTAATAGATTGGATTTGAGTAGGCATTCATATTTTCCCGCTTTTGTTGCAAAACGTTCTCGAGATATTCTTCCGCATGCGTTAACACAAATTTTCGGTATCCATGAATTGTTATTGATATATATATATATTTCTCACGACAAAACATTTTCATACATTTATTTATGTTCTTAAAAACTATTTTCATGAATATTTATTGATGAAATTATATATATAACAAGCGATAAGGAATGTTATTTTGCACTCGATAATATCCGCGTAATTATACGAAATACGTTCGGTTATCATTCAAACGGCAAGGAAATTTCTGCGGCAACATAACACCGGTATGACCTCTCAAGGTCACATCCGATGTAAAAATCAGTTGCAAAAGGCTGAACTCATCAGATGGATACAAATAGAAATTCATCTAACAAAAACAAAGAGTGGACGTGGACGGGTACTTATACATCCCCACAACAAAAAGTAGAAAATAAGTCTATAAATGCAAGGCGATTATTTCTGACGAGGAATTTTTGTGGACCCGATGAATTTTCATTGTGAATTTACATGATAGTTGGACATGCAACAAACTGACAACAAAAAGATAGAGAGAAAAAAAAACTTAAATAGCACAGAAAGGCACAGATATACCACTAAACACTAAACGGTTTGCAAAGAAAACAATCGCGAGATGAACGTTTAAACTATGACTCGTATTAAGTTATTCAATTAGAAAGCTGTTGGCATTTTCAACAACTTCGGTGTTTAACGCAACTGACAACATAGGAAGGTTTCGAGCGGTCAGGTGTCTTATCAGACAGAAAACAAAAATACATCTTAATCCAGGATTAAAAAAATACCCCATGATGATTTTCTTTTCATTTGATACATGTAGTTTCTATTAGACTAACATGATTATATAAAAAATGGCTAAAAAATGGACACAGATTGTCTCCATTGTCATACTAATCAGATTTTATCGATGGGGAAACTGATGTTTTTTTACAATCCTGGTATCTATGATGAGTTTATTTACATGAGATCTATACGTAAAAATAGACGGATATTAAAAATCAACACATTGCCTTAGTCCACTTTAAAATGTTGATATTTGTATTACAACTGTTGATTGACATGTTTTACTCAATCATCGAATATGACACAGAGATCCATCTCTATCAAATGGCGTGGGAAAAAACGAAGTTCGCACAACTGAAGTGAAAACATAAGTATAGAGTCGCGAAAACAAACTCAATACTTAATACAAAAATTTATGATAACAGAGATGATTTTTCATTGCCTATCGTTAATTATCCATTTTTAGATGGTGACGTTCCCTTGTCACCATCTTATGGTGTTTATATATCTCAACTTGTACGATTCGCTCGTGTATGTAACAACGTATTAGATTTTAGCGAGAGAAATTTATGTATTACTGAAAAATTATTACACCAGGGTTTTCGATATCATAAACTAGTCAAAACATTTACTAAATTTTATCATCGGTATAAGGACATCATTCGTAAATATAACTCAACATGCAGATATCTTATACGTTCGGGTATTTCACATCCAATCTTTTATGGTAATATTCTTTACAAAGCACAAAAATGTCAGTATTCACCTCAAAAGCTAACAAAACCTTTTAAACAGACTTATTAAGAAGGGATATAGTTACGATACTGTTGTCAGGTCATTAAAGATTGCATATTTTGGCTTTAATATTAATTCACTTATAGGGTCTTTGCATCGGGATTAAACACATTTATTCTAAAACCGGTTGTTGGCATGACACGGGTTATGTTCTTCTCATATATTTTATGACGGTATAATACTAAACCCCTAACAGGAGGGATTGTGCCTGATATTCATATGATGAAGACATAATCTTTTAATCAGTTTAATTGAGGTCTGGAGCTGCTAGTATTCTGTTGTTATTTATGTATTATTGTCATTTTGTTTATTTTCTTTTGTTTCCTATTCTGACATCGGACTCGGACTTCTCTTATACTGAGTTTTACTGTACGTACTGTTGTGCGTTTGTTTTTTCTACATTGGCTAGAGGTATAGGGGGAGGGTTGAGATCTCAAAAAACATGTTTAACCCAATCTAATTAAAATATAGATCTCGGATTTCGTATGTAGTATAACGTAGTATAACGAAATCCGAGATCTATATTTTAATTAGATTGTGTTTAACCCCGCCGCATTTTTGCGCCTGTCCCAAGTCAGGAGCCTCTGGCCTTTGTTAGTCTTGTATCATTTTTTAATTTTAGTTTCCTGTGTATAATTTGGAGTTTAGTATGACGTCCATTATCACTGAACTAGTATAGATATTTGTTTAGGGACCAGCTGAAGGACGCCTTCGGGTGCGGGAGTAATAATTTTGAGAGAATAGTTTTATCCCTATATATATAAGGATATATTTTCGTTACAAAGAGTACAGCATTCTTAGCTTACATAGATAGATTAGTTCATTTCAATGTTCCCGTCTCTTTCATCCATCCACGATCACACATCCGTGAATTAAATAAAAGAATATACGGGGTTCACATCAATTAAATAGCAAACAAACGATAACAAATAACTATTTAAAAACTTTTTTTTCTAAAGGTCACTCACTATACGAGTTTTTAAAAAAATGTAAAGAAATGCAAAAATCTACCATCAACGCCCAACTCTCTTAGCAACACAAACAATTAGAATAGTGAAGACAACCCATGACAAAGATCCTCACTTGGGGGGGGGGGGGGGGGGGGGGGGGGGGGGGGGCAGGTATTTGGCAGGGGGTAAACTAGTTTTGTGAGCACTCAATGCAACCTTCACCCTTCAAATCACAATCAGTGAAATGGCAAAGGATAAAAGAATGAACGTGAAAAAAATCTGGTAAGATAAAGCTCTTCACTCTATGATACAGATACAATAGACGACAAAACACAGACCCGTACATTTACAAGTAAAGCAATAACAACTAGTCAAATAATACCATTGCAACGAATGTTATACAATTTCTGTCTTTTGATGAGGTAAATATGCGGTTTTATTGACATTTGAAAACAATGATATTCACTGAGGCCGACGGCCGAAGTGAATATCAGTTTTTCAAAAGTCAATTCAACCACATATTTACCGAAACAAAAGACAGTTATTGTTTTATTCCATTTTCCCAGAGAAAACAATGTATTTGATGTCAAATATTTACCAAAACCAATAGTATATCTTGAACATTTTACCATAACGTTACAGTTAAAAGCGCGTGACGTTCAGCGCGGTGAATATCACTTTTCTCCAGGTGAATATGTTTTTTTTATTCAAAATCCAATTCATAAAGAGAAACCTACTAAAATAATACCAATATGGAATAATAGCAGATACTGAAAACAAATCGTATGTATCTTGAACTTGATATAATTATTCTTATTACTCTTAATAAGACGAGTTTTAATGCAGCCTATGGCTCTCTCTAGGACCATCTCCGTTCCAATAAACCAGCAAATCTTTTATTGTGAGAGAAACTTTATAAATCCCGAGCATTAAACCATATACAGTATACGTGTATGTTCCTTTTTGCGTTTAACTTGAATGAGTCAGCCCCCCTTTTATTCTAAGCGGACCACACTATATTTATTGTTTTCATTTATACTTGTGGCATATCATTGAGATCAAGTTAAGAGTGAAATTAAGTTTTAAAGACGAGACATTTACCCTTTATGGTATGTGACGTAATCTGATAATGTCACCTGCCCTGTTTACATTTCACGTATTTTGATATATTTAAATAGTTCTGTTGAATAGATCTATATAAATAGTTCAAATCAGGAAGTGGATTTGATAAAATGTACACTACCGAAAATTAATCCAGCGCCGACCTTAACCGAATCCAGTCAGGTTTGTAGTATTATGAAAACCTGTTACTAACGTTACTCTTTCATATACATCACTATATACACCACTAAACATTTCACGGACAATATTTCGCAGATTGTTAGTTGTCAGGTCCAGAAATATGATAGCTTCCTGTTTGAATTTATTGCTCTTCCAAATTGATACCTTCCTGTTTTAGATATTGATATTTGTTTTTCAAGCACCACTGACGAGAACTTATTTTTTCGAATTGGTGCCTCAGATTAACCTCGGTACCTTGTATGTTTGTATAGTGTAAACAAGGACTAAAAATCATACACGATCAATGTGTTTATGAATACTGGGCATTTTAATCTCAATTCAACAAAAATCTATATCAATAAATACATCATATTATTATTTTGTTCGATAAACAGAAGAAAGTATCCGTGAACACAAGTTTAATGGTAATACAGTATAAGCACGATAGGTATAATGTCCGGCGGAGATCGTGTTTCTTTCGAGTGTAGATCGTTTTTTTTTTTCGAGTGATAAAACAAGCGATCATGTCAATTAACGGCTATTTCGCAATTATAATAGTTTTATTCATGACTGTTCATCTTATTTTGAATACTAAACATGTTTTGACGCACAATTTCGTTGTAATAAACCTAAAATTCAGTGTTTTGCATTGTCTGTGTTTTTTCGAGTGCAACAAATAGTCCGGTTTTTTTTTGAAGAAAATGTGAATAACAAATGAGGCATTTTTGACTTTAAAAACTGACGTTTTCTAGTTTATAATTGTAATTAAGTGAAGGACAATAATATATAATTTATTCCCAATAATTCATACTAAAAAAAAAAAAAAAAAAAACAACAAAAAAAACATATTACAATGTTGATAAAATTTAACCTTTTTCAATTTAATGATAACTTTCTGTTTTGAAAACGTTTTACCATAACCTAGCAGTATAATAATATATAAGAAATCAATGGGTTCGTTTTAAAATAGTCTAAAGAATCGAGTACAGGGACTCATGGCTTTTTAATTTCATTGCATGCTTCCTTTGTTTTTATAGTCAATAATATTTCATGATTGATATATATTACAGTGACGAAAAAACATAGGGGCAAGAAAACTAAGGAAAAGGAGTAAACAATCAGAAAAATTCAATATAAACCCAAATATTCTATTAAAAGAGGACCCCCCCCCCCCCCCCCAAATAAAAGATAATAAATTACAATAACATTTGACTTGAATGGAATATCTAATAAAAAATGAAAACAAAACTTTATAATTTTATGCTATATGACCAAAAGGACCTTAAAAATAGCGTCGTGCATGTTCAGAACGAGAATAAATTAACAATAAATCCAATAAGTAGGTCCTGTAACAGAGGACGTTCGGGATAAAAGTAGGGAAATTTAGACTGCCACTGAAAATGAGAGTATATTGGATATGGACAGAAATTTTGCCTTGCAACAGGCCACCTACGGACCCTTCAAAGAGCTGTTGCAATGGTTCTCACTGTGCAATGAGCGTATCACTCTCTACACGCCCCATTCTGACCGGACGTGGCTGCGTACTTGAACATCACACACAGCCAAACGGACGTCCCACTTTGGCAAGGGTCGGTCGCAGTGACCATATTTCTATTACCCTGTCCCCCTTGGAGGTGAATAATATTAGAAAGGATTGTTATAAATGATGACAATACCATACCAGACAGTACTGACTACTGAGCTGATGATAAGCTCGGGGGACTTGTCCAATGTATTCAATAAACAACGAAATAAATAATCTGTAAGCTTCAATACGATCCTTTTGATATAATAAGAAAAAAAAAAAAGAATAAATGTGTATATACCGGTAATATGCGTTCACCTAACAAATATACATTGTCAATTTTTTAGCTATGCTGGTGCTTTATTACTGTGTGACCAAGCATATCATACGCTTGATTAGACAGTAGGAGCAATTGATCATTGTTCTTGATTTCCATTTCTAGAACGATAAAAAATTACTTCTTATGAAACAAGAATCTTGCAATGACATTTTATGAAATGTACGTATTAATACAGCATTATCAAACTGGTTTAATGCATTGTTTCGTGCTTTGATAAGTACTTTATTTGAACCTTTTCATTGTTTTTTTTTAACCGTAATGGACTGACATATTGCATTTTAAGCCATAGGAATTTTGTTTTTTTACTCGATAAAACAAGGACACACTCGAAAAAACACGGACTGTTCTCGTAAATACACGGACATATAAAAATGAATTTACTCTACAAAATGTCCTTTTCAATGCAAAAACAAGAATTTTTGTATGTGCACATTTCCGTTGACATTTGCATTGCTATGTGTATAAAATGGCTTTAATCTATATTTTGGAATAAAGCATTGTAAGGCTGTATTAAACGTTTTTAGAACAAAATAATTTAGGGTTGATACTATCTTTTTATCAAAAATACTAATTTACCTTCTATGATCTAGTATTAGTTGTCAGTGCTGCGGTCTGTACGCTGATGATGCATACTCTAGTCCCCGGAGTATTAGTAGTCAGTGCTTCGGAACTTGCATTATTTTATTGACACATATTGAATTTATGTTTATAAATTATTTATTCATACTGAAACTAAGGTTGAAACTTCTTCGACAAAAGTGAAGGCAGTTTGATTTTCATATTATGTTTTAGTTTCAGTATATGCTTCCATTTCAATGTATTTGGATTCTCTAAATCGATCATGAAGGTTATTCCAAAAACACGTGTCTTATGCATTGTAGTCGATACCACTCGTTAATATAATACTATAATATATAAATATACAGTCATCCTGAATAGGCATGCTATTCTTGCCAAAGAGATAGAATGAGTGCTTAAACACTGACTAGCAGAAAATCAAACCGAAAACAGTCATATGACTGCTACAACTCATGGCAAACCCTCCTGTTAACCGTAAAGTTCTAACTACTTATTGGCTATTACTAAACTACTCAATAACCTTTCCAAATTTGATTCATGTCAGCTTTCATAAAATCTCTCCCCTTTTGATAATACATCTTCTAACAACTATCAAAATTTATTAATTCTCTATGATAATAACCATAAAGGTTATGAAAATAATACTAGCAATACAAATGTATCACTTATTTCTGAAATTAAACTAATTCGATGTTTTAAGATACATATAGTGCTTTGGATCCATACCATCGACAATTAAGAGCTGTCCGCAAGTAAATCAAATCATACGGTTATTTAATACCAATTCCCCCCAATAGCAAAAGCTTTGGTTTTTGTGCATGATATAAATAAAAATTATTGTAGGTAAAGTTCCTATTCATCTTATAATCACAATGCTCTTAGTCAGTCACATCAATATAAGATTATAAGATGAATAGGAACTTTACCTACAATAATGTTTATGTATATCATGCACAAAAACCAAAGCACTTGCTATTGGGGGAAAGATGTGACTAAGAGCATAATACTCGTTGAGGCTTTGGCTTTTATTAAGCTTGGCAGTTCTATTTAAGTATTTGTTATGGTACTTTCAAATGGATGATATATTTTTACTTTCCAAACTATTGATCATGAGCGTATGTGCAGGAGGTTATCACAGAAGCACGTACGGTAATAAAATCAGGGGCGTAGCAAGGTTCTGAGTGCAGCGCACGCAGAATCTGTCGGCAAGGGGTCTGGGGGCAGCTTAAGGTGAAGCTCAGAGGATTAAGTAAATACAAAGATGAATTTTTATGTTGGAAATTTATCTGTTCTGTCTTATTTTCTTTAGAATTATATGTAATGAAAGGGTCTATTTATACCTCGATAAACGGATAAGAGTGTTGGACTGATTAATTAACGACAATTTATTTATAAACCAGTGTAAAGCTACTCTAGTAATTTGCTCATTGAGTATGCTAGAGAACTCGACGGAGACAATCGACCTTCAAGGAGTGATGCACACATTATGAAGCCTTGTAATATGTAGGCCGTAACATAATATAATGAAATAGGTAATACCATTGGCTTAGTCATAGGACCGAGCGTTGTTGGTTTTGGCCTCTATAATCACAACTGACTTATGAGACACTTTCAATTAAAGACTTATTCTAACATTCATTAAAATGAATAAATGAATAAATAAAGCTTTTACAATAAAAGAACATACTATACACAATATTTTCTGCGATTAAACATAAAATACAAAGATTTTGCTAAAAAGGGTTGTATAGAGTCATGTGACATCAGAAAAATGAATTTGTCATCATGATTAAAATCGTTAAAATTTGGGTTAATTGCACTTGCTTTCAAAAATAAACCATATCGCAGATCTGAATAAAATTCACAATACATTAAAATGTTTTTCATCTTCTTCACAATCAACTGTACAATATTTACATTTTCGGTCATTAAGAAGAGTTTTTGGCTTGGTGTAACGACCTGTCTCTATTGCTAAAAGTAGACACCCACTTCTAAAATTAGATAAAATACGTCTATGTTGTCTATTCTTTACAATTTTTAGATATGAACTTGTTACTAATTCATTTTTATACAGTCTATAGGTACGTAACTTGTTACCATTTGGTTCATTTCTATCTTGATACAATTTTTCAACCCATTTTTGTTTTTAAATTTCATATAGTTTTGTTTTAATATCATATTTTAGCACATACTTACAACTTCTCGTCCAATAAAATTTCTTGAATGTGCCTTCTAATTTTCATAGTACATACGATTTCCGTGTACTAAGTAACTACGCATGAATGACAACAAGGGTAAGATTTCATTGTATCGTAATCAAGATATTAAAACAAAAATTGCCACTAGCTATTTTGAAATAAAATGCTGTGCTCCAAATTAAATTAAATAGTTTGTTATTAGTTTTCACATTGATTTTTAAATATCCTGCTATTAAAATCTTTGGACCTTAAAATATTTTTGACAATTGCAAGTTTCTTTCATTTAAATAAAGAGTAAAAATATTGTTCTTTATACCTTGATGAAAGTACAACGCTATCTTAAAATTGTGATAATTTATCA